GATTTATTTACCTCATCGAGCAATTCTTCAACTTCTAGCGAATTACCACTTGGATCCATCATCTGAAAATGAGCACGGGTTATTTATGCATTGCTGGGTGTTGGTTCGTGAATGATTAAGACACATACACTTACTGTCTGCATGATACCCTTCAGAACATCAGCGTAGTTTCCTAATTTTTGCTTGAGGGTGGTCTTGTCCTTCTTGATGTTCTTTTGCGAGGCAGAACTGGATGTAGATGGAGCTGTCACCTCTCCAGGCTCAGTGTTCGACGATGAAGTAATGAGGTGTTCTAACGAATCCTCTGAAACTATATAAAATGTTAGTCCAATCACGAAGTGAATTCCCTGTCGTACCTGTGCCAAACACCTCACGTAGTTTTTCGAATAAACTTCGTTCGGAGGAGGTTTGAAGCGCATCGACCATCATGTCAGCAAAATTAACTTTCTCATTTCTGAAAACGGACATCACTAGATGATCCACAATTGCTGAAAAGCAAAAAATAACTCACGTTTCTTCTTCCTCTTCATCTTCTCCTTCTTGCTCTTCATCTTCTTCAACTGTCTTATCCATTTCGAATGTATCACTGGATTGTTGCCGTTGGCGGGCAGCAGCGAGATCGGGAGCAGACACAGAGAGACTGCAATAGTTAGTATGAAATACTCGAAAGTGAGGAAAACATCACGTTGCGTAAGAGCAAAACTGCTGTTGAAAGATCTTAAGAGGAGGCTTTTCTACTCTGATGAGCCTGTACAATTCACAGCTATGAGAACGAATACAAAAAAAGGATCGCTGACCAAAACAGAATAAGAACGCGAGGTTTCTAGCACGCTAAAACAGCAGTATGGGAGATCTTTATACGCACCCTGAGCATAAGAACTTTCGAACGAGTGCAAACTCCTTTGTTCCCATTCAATATGAATTGGGTTATTGTAAAGCCGAGCTTACTAAGCAGCTTCTATCATATTAATTCTAGCTTCTATCATAATTAATTGTAACAGAACAAAGAAAAAAAGACGAAACTGGGTACTGTACTTTACCCACCTGCTCATTTTCGATGAATCCACTTGAGGAGCAGATGGAGTAGCACCATCACGCGGAGTAGCATCAACTACGGACGACTGCGACGAACACACGGATAGGGCAGCATGAGATCCAGCAGCGCTAAAACATGCTCAACTTTAGCGAGCCCGAGCGGCAGCGCGTACGAATTTCAGAGAAAACATTACCTTGCAGCGGAATCGCTTTCTTCAGTCTCAGCAGCAACCGGTGTTTGATGTCCTGGCTCTGGAGTTTCGGCACCACTTTCCATGGTTTCAGCTATTCTGCCAAACTTGTGCGGATTAGCTCTATAATCAAGAAAATTAGTTGACTAGGACTTGAGTGTTGACATCGAGGACTTCAGTGAAAAATACTTCCAGCAATAGCGAACCTTGCGAGGAGATTTTCCAACGACTGAGTCTGGTGCTGCAAGGATTCTGCAGACGCAGCCTGACCTGTCGACGCTACGCTCGGTCCTGCCTTCGCGCGATCTTCCACCAGGTTCGTGGTTGACATGGACTTTTTGCCTGGAGCAAATATTAGGTTAATCCGTTAATCCCTCTGAAGCTCATAATTATAATGAAAACCAGATTAGTCAGTAGCCTTACCAATATTAGAAGAGCTAGTTGCAGCTGCACTGGCCGATGATGTTGAGGGTACTTTAGCGAACCTTGATAAAGGCGTGGACACTGCAAAAGTAACGGATATTGTGCAGGCTATACAAACAATGCCAAGAAAAACCTAAACATACCACCAGATCTGCGTTGCTTCGTTGCAAATGGAGTAAATCCGGTGAAAGACGCAAATGGTGATGAACTACCATCCCGAACACCCGTTTCTCTTGATCTTCCCATAAGGCCGCGTCCTTTAGCCCGAACTGCCTCCAAGACAGAAATTGCAGGCGTTGACGTTGTGAGTGATGTGCGGCCGCTCACGCGTTGGATGTCAAAGCGTCCATCTGCTCCGAAACGATACGAGTTCGTATATCCGTTGTCCCACATCACATCAACCCAACCTGTAGCGAGGGACCATACATTTTAATTAAATGTATCGAGGAATTGCGGATAACAGGAAAAACTTGCCATTTTCTACACAGCCAACAATTTTTCCTTCGCCGCCACCATCCTGATCATCCCACGACCAATCTGGGCCACGAATTACGCGCATACCGCGAGCATCGGTTCCCACGGCTGCATGACGACCTGCCCGCGCCACACGCATACTGTAACAGAATTATCAAAAAAAAGTGGCGCATGCATCTATATAACAAGAAAATGTCATGACGGTAACCACGCAATCCGTTGAAGACAAATGGTGCAATAGTTGGGAACCAATGGAAATCAAAGGCAGGGAAAGGGTACCGGGTGGAGAAAAACTGAGGGTATACCCTGGTTTCTTTCTTTTTTACCGATGGCGCACCTAGAGTGCGTGATAAATAAATAAATAAACAAATAAACCTATGAAGACCTCTGTTTTTCTTGTTGATGTTCGCTTCGTGCGGATAACAACATAGCTAAGCTCACAATCGTGAAAATTGCTCTACCTCTCAGCTAAACAGGCTCGAGTCTGACGGTGAAGGATCAGCAACTAAGTAGCCATGGAGGCAGGCAGAGGCATGTGGCGTCCAGAGAAGGGTAAAGCCTTGCTACGTCGCTACGGGCGCACGCTTCACCATGTGGTCTTTTATTGTTTGATTCCTTTGACCTCCCTACTTTTACAGCAGGCACGTTCCCCTTCTCCGACATCCCATTTATCGCGATACTTGTCTTCAATGTAAAACTACTCTGAGGGTTGAAGATCAGTAAACAAACACCCCATCTTACTCACCGAGATCTTGTGTGCATCATAGAGACCATATCCGCAGTTAAGCCAGCTCTAAGCTTATTGTTATTTGCTCCTTGTGGCATCAGTGATTCGACTTTCTGAAAGAGAGGAGGAATGATTCTGGAAAACAATCAGCGCTAGTGTGTCATTTACCTCATCACGATTTGAATCCTTGCGTGACGACGATGGCAGTGGTATCTTAGACTTGCCCTGAAATCGATATAGAGATCGAAGTCTGTGTGACAATGATTTTCTAGTGAAGTCCGCTTACAATAGAACATCCACTTCTGTCCTTCTCCTCTTTTGGTACTGTGAACCCATCGATAACGACGTCGACAATCTCGCCATACACTTCAAAACCGGAGACGCTCAGATAACACGTCTGACCAGAAGAGTTTTTGCCATTCTGCGCGATGCGTAAGTACCGGAATGGGCCTGAATTTGATAAGAACGCTATTTGGGCATGAATTAGGAAAGATTCACGACAGAACTCTTCTTTCACCTTTGGTTCTGTCATCCTCAATCGGCCAGGTGGCGGTGGACCCAGGATCGCCGAGGCTTATGTCATCCGAGTGAGCAACGAGCACCTCCCAGACTTGCTTGTCTTTCGATCCCTGCAAATCAATCGTAGATTTCACTCCCTGACCGAACCCAACGAAAGAATTACCTGCAAGAGCCAATTTCGAAGCGCCGATCGTCCATAACCTCTTGCATGACGCAATGTATACGCGGTCGGGTAGAGGAAAATGCCAAGGTCAATCGTAAAGTTCGCATTCCTGAGCAAGCAGCAAAGGTCTTTTCGAAGATAAAAAGAGACGGAATCTAATCATTTTAATGAATAGCAATGGATGGGGTGATCCTCACATACATTCGATGGTTCAATAATGGAAGCCTTCAAGATAAATGAGTCAAGTAGATTCCATCTCATAATGTCACAAAAACCAAAACAGAGATGGGACTGAGTCGCTAGGACTCGAAGCGAGAAGGGCAAAACGAAAAAGAAGTTCGAAGAAAAGCAGACCAGGTGCCTTACCAAAGAAGTCTTTTAGAGGGCGCCAAGTTCTTCAAAACGGTCTTTTGCATGATATAGGGGGGACATGCGGGACCACAGAACCATGGTGTCACCAAGGAGAATCGAACCAAGGACCCTTTACTGGTATTCAGAGGGCCGTTCAGGAAAAATGAACCATGGTTCTGTGGTTCCCGCATGTGCCCCTATATCATGCAAAAGACCGTTTTCAAAAAGCTTGTCACGCCCTGAAAGACCTTTGGTTAGCATGGCTATATATGAGAAACCCTTTACAAAAAATGCTAAAAACTAACTTGTCATCACTGGAATGGCAGTTGATCGGATTAACGTCACGACTTAGAACGTCTTCCGGTTTTCCAAACGGCTGTCTTTGATCAGAGCATGTCACCTACAAATGCAACATCGTGGAAATAATCCCCAAAACTGCTGCTCAACGATCAATATCTTGTTTTCTGAACGATATATTCGTTAAAATCGCATGCCGTTTCTAGCCATTCTGTTAGCCTTTTCTACTTAAATGATTTCCCAGGATCTCCCGATGAAGTGAAGGGAATACAATGCAAAAGTCGCACCTGAACAATCCCGATCGAGGCCGGATTGGTCCAGTCAGCTGCTGTTCTGCCGTTTGTTCCCAGCCAATAAATCACACCTAAGATGATTGCGTGACACAACCGCAGTTGTGAAGAAAACATGAAAATTATTACCTTGCTCATCGAAATCGCTGGTATAGGTCAACCTAATGCGCTCTCCAGATTTCTTCGATTCTTCAATGGCTTTTACAAAGCCGAGGTTAGCGCGATCACGATCGAACCTGCAATGAATGTTAACAGCCGTTTCTCTGGCATCAACATAGTAAGATAAATATATAATGATAAATCATAATAATTCATTAAACTCAATAATTGGGAAAATTTAATAAATTACCACTGCTTCGCCACCATCTTCAAAAGGAACGACTTCAGCTGTCCAATCGTTGTCAGTGGTTCACTTTTCAACAAGCGACCGCTTCTGAAAACCAAGCTTTCCAATAGGCGAGCAAAAGTGCAACTCCGACAAAAATCCATCTGCAAAACGAGGAAACTGTACCTATTGATCAGCTGTTTCTTGTCATCGTGTTCACTGATAGCATGTTCAAGTTTCATGCGGATTCGCCGGGACAACAGCTGCAGTCCGAACGCTGATCCACCCGGAGTGTCATAGAGGTACTGCGGGAACTTCTCTGTCGATTCCAGCACAGAGACCATTTTCATGGCAAGACTCGATAAAGCCACTCCATGCGCGAACGTCTGAAAATTGAAACAACTAATTTGTCTTCCGATAAGACTGGCAGAACTTCGCACCTCTCCGAATATGCGAGCAGGGTAGCTTCCAGGTTGGCGCTCGACTAGAGCCAGCAGATTATGTAACGCGGGAACAATGCCAGAGACGGAAAATTCGAAAGTTGAAAGCCGCCTGTCGTCCAGCACCGATTCTCGAACACATTTCAGAGCCGACACCAACTGAAAATATAAAAATAGGAAAGGTCACTCATGAAGCCAAACAGGATCTTGTCTTGAAGCTCTCAATTGTTTACCTCTTGAACTTTCTCAATACGCGGCTGCTTCACATGTTTACTCTTGATGGAAATCCCAGCAATGAGATTTGCTGTTGTTACCGCATCCTAAATTCGAATCGATTATATCTCACTCCGCAGTAACACAAAAAGAGTAATCTAACGGAAAGTAAGTCGAGGAACCTTAATGAGGTTACCTGAATGCAAATCGCGGCTCTCTGCAGTTCAATTAGCGCTTCACGTGGTTTAGCACGCGCCTCTTTCAGGTGATTATTCCATAGCTCCCATGCTAGCTCTTGCACTTTTCTACGTTGAATTTCCCCTCTGAATTTCGATCGCCTCGCAGTCATTCCGTGCGAGCTCCATCCTGAAATGCGCTCTTATCTGCACGCAATTTGAGAAAGGGGTTCACTATTCAACGCACCTGTGTGGAATTCCGAGGATAGCGCTGTCTCAGGCATTTGGCTGTGCTTCGTTTTATCGCTCGTCTCTACGACAAATCCACCAAGTTCATCCTTGACAACTATGTGTTCCTCGCTCTTGCAGCACTTGATCGTGAGCTCAGTGGAACGAGAACTCCACATTTCCCAACGAGGGAACTCCACCTGAACAACTCACATAGGTCCAATCCAATTTTTCCCGACCGAGAAATTCTCTGGCAAAATTGATTCACCTTTTTACCCATGCAAGGTACGCATAATATGCTGACAGGGAGTGAATCATCGTTCCACATTTGTTTGACTCTCCTCCATCTCGTCATGAAGGACTTTTTCGTTTCAGCCCGAACGTCATCAGACACGCTTTCAGCGACACCATTGTTGAACATTGTAGTCACTTCCCCGTCCATGAAAAAACGGAACCACCCATTGCTGTTGAAGCTGAAACTCCCACCAATGAATCAACGCTCTTTCCCGAAAAGGCAATACAAAAGCAAAGTGCGATGTTGAAAAGCGAACCTTAGCTCCAACGCAAGCACGTCGCACCAGATGAATGTGGACTCTTCACCACGAATCACGCGCCACTCTTTCCATCGATATGGCATATCTTAAAAAAAGGTTATGACAACAAGATAATGGATGTGGTGTTCAACTAGGGACTGTAAGCCTTCCAAAAAAATCGCTGCTAGTTTTATGGTGCTTTTCGCTTCCCAATCTGAGGCCGTATCCTATCCTTCCCCTAGATTAGAGGAACCAAAAAAGTCCCTTCAAATTTTCTTTGCCCTTTCATCAAAATCGCCTCAAGAAACTGCATATTTGTGATGTATATATTGTGTAAAAGCAAGCAAGTGTGGAAGTAAGTAAACTGTGCCATTGAAAACAAATGGAATTTAAAGGATTCTTTTGTTTCACTAGCCTGTGGGAAGGACAGGGTACTGCCCCTGGATTTTGGTACTATGAATATGGTAAGCAATGGGCCATAACCTTGGACTTCTTATCTGATGTTCGGTTTGGCAGCATCAAGCAAAACGCATAGAATCATACGATCAATCACGGGACGTAGCATGTGCTATTTTTATGGGAAGAGAACTTGTATTTCCCCATAAACATTATGGTTTACATACAGATCACATTTGAAAGAAGACCGCAAAAACAAACCTTGCTGAAGAACCAGTTTGCCTTTATCACTAGACGATGTGGGGACCATAAGCGTCAGAGATGAACCGGCATTGGGTTGCACAACCTCCACAGTTGGGGGAGGCGTTCTCCGTGGTTGTGATGTCTTCCACCAGAAAAGGAAGGCCGTACATATCGTTCGCTAACAAATTTTAAACATGAAAAAAACTAGTACCTCCATCATAACATTCAACATAGCCTGCACGTTCTTTTTCTGTTTCATCATTTATACCAGCGGAGATGCTCCTCTCAACCACGTCCAGTTCCATTGCCACAGAAGGAGTAGAGGTAGTAGATCTCAAAATTGTCACAATTGAATCCAAATGCGTTTTTGACTTCGTAGAAGTTTCTTACCTGCTCATAGCACTGTTCCGGGCATTGAGTTCTTCTGCTCGATCGGCATCATCATCGTCGTCCTTGAAAAAGTAAGGAGGTCAAGAGGGCACATTTTTTTTTCAAAACTAGCAAATCAGAAGGCTACGCTTACGTCAGAACTTTTCGGCGGTTCTTTAGCCATAGCCTCGACTCGTTCGAAAACACCCAAACGGACAAGCTCAGGAACCCATAACTCCGGATCTTTACGTAGTAGTGAAGAAAGAATCTGAAACTCGTATCATAAGGAATAACGATTTTCTGCTCAGATAGAACTCCATTGGGATATAATGAGTTTTTAAGGAATGTTCTCCTTCAACCACCAAAATACTGAACTTATTGCACTCACCAGTAACACCTGTTCTTGTCCGTCATGATCTTCCTCTTGCTCAAGGACGGAAACGACCACAGTCACCAAATTTTCCGCCCCTGGCGGCAAATCTGCTGCGGAAGACGTTTGCATATCTGTTGAAGAACCTGTAATAGAATCGGTGGAAAACGTACATTTTATCCCATAGAGCACAGCGAGTACACAAGGACACAGCTGGGTCACCTTGAGATTCTATTGCTTGACTAGGAGGCGATCTAATGTCGTCAAGTTGCATATGCTCAACAATTTTCCGCAATAGCGACAACGACGTGCGCCGTACACTAGCAGACAGTGATTTCTGAACCAAATATTCAACAGAGTTTGTCACAATTCAGATGCATACTATAACAATAGGAGCAATTCTGAACACTAACCATGAAGATCTCGCAGAAAATTGGTAACAGCTGGTGAAGAACGCGGAGGGCTAATTCACGATCGGGAAGGTCACTCGTACTGTTTTTGCGAACAACGGAGGCCTGCTTCGATTTATTCTGCTCATCGGACTCTGAAACCAAAAATCCATTCTGAACCGTAAGCAGGGAAGAGCACAAAGGTAGAAAATGCGCATAAGGTCGCTGAAATCGTGAATCAGGATTTTGGTTGTTTCTACAACACAGCAACGCTTTGACCAGATGTTTATTAACAACTGAACAATTGGAATAATGATTAAGAGCGGAACCTTCCCAACTCACTTGAATGCATGTACACTGAAGGACTCTCAAGTATCTGAGCAACTTGAGTGTGATCCTCGTCAGTGCGCTCCCTAGCTTTGTCCAATGCCGTCTTTCCATCTTCGTCTCTCAAATCCGGATTTGCACCCCGTTGCAGTAGTACTTTTACAATCTGAATAGTCCAAATCGAAACCAATCACTGAATGTATGAAATTTGTTATGTCTCATTAACTCACATCAGGTCGTCCAAAAGAAGCTGCGTAATGCAAGCTACTGCTCTTATGTCCTTTATTCACATCAGCCCCCTAAACCAGAAATGTAGGTGAAGATTACTAATCGCTGGTAAATAAAACTATACCTTATCGCACAAATACTGAACCATTTCTAGTGAACCAAAAGCTGAAGCCCAATTGCATAATGTTTGTCCCACATCGTCGGTGAAATTGACATCGACCTGTTTAAATAACATGCTATATAAAGCCCGCAAAAGCTATCATTTTATTAGACCCCAATTAAGTTTTTAGACCGGACGCTCTTTTTATTTTACCATTCACTTTGCTTCCAGGATAGGTAAGAATTGGGTAAAGATAGTTTTATAGAATAAGGAAGACGATTCATGCGCCACGAGTCCAACTTCGGTCAACATTACTTGAGTCAAAAGTGCAACATAAGGGCGGGCAATGTTTTCAGGCAAGCTGACATGGATACGGCGACGAAGTGGACGAGAAAGGCTTGGTTTCAAAACGGCAACTGACGAAACACCGGAAAACTTTTACATTTTACAAAAATTTTCCCCCATAGCCCAACTGATATTGCCGATGCTGGTTTCAGCATCGCGATTCAATTAAAATTCGCAAACATATCAATGTTATACGCTCCCATGACGTACCATTGTGTAACAAAACAAAGCGTGGCATCGATTTGTTACCGGAAATGATGGAAATGTGTTCATTCCTAACAGAAAATATTTTGATCAGGACAGATATTTTCGTTTTTTTTTGGTCAGTCTGAAAACCTAGTTGGAGAGCCAATATTTGTCTCAAGAATTTGTACAACAATGAGCGAGAGTATTACCCATAAAACTCACGACGCCATTGTCAATCGTATCGACGAGAGCACTAAGATCTTTCTGCCTAATTGCGTCAATGAGATGACGATGAGCGCGCTCGGCACTTTGGCCGCTCTGTCCAGGCTCTCCACTTGACTGATACTGTAAAAGCGACGCATATAGATCAAAGCTTTTTCGGGCAGTGAGTTCACAAGCTCCCACCGCCATTGTGAAAGGAAGAGCCGATCGTCCTTCGCTTAACAGCACAACCAGTAGATCAGCCAGCCGAAGTCCATCCGTCACGCAACGATCGTCCTTATTGGTCAGAACACACTGTAGCGCCGAGATCAAGCGTGGAGAACTGAAAAAGCATATGAGCGCTGGGTTTTCACGAATGTCAAGCGAAATAAATTACCTCAACACCTGCTCGGTAACCGCAGCACTCCCTCGACAAAGATTACTAAGCAACGAGAGAACAATGGAGATGAAATTGGCAGAATGGGCAGCAGTTTCACTAGACAGTGTGGTTAGCAGGTGCTCAACCAAATTGCTGTGCGTGGCTAGCTCAGCCGGGTCGAGCATCTTGCGAATGAAACGGTCTGTGAGAGCTGCGAAGCAACGCAAAGCGCTCTCAGAAACCTGAAATACAGTGACAGTGATCGCAAAAGCAATGTGGATGCCGGGCTGATGATCAGATCACAGATCTCGTTACTATACCCTTTTCCTAACGATTTTTATCAATAGTAATATTCGTAATTTCTTCCAGATGTAGGTAAGTATTCAGGCCGAATCGCGCCACTTGAAGCTCAAATTTCTCGTTCACATGCGCGCCAGAGTCGTTGCTAGCGACGACCCTTGCCCGCAACCGTTTTTCAGGTTCGAAAATTTATCCACGTGGAATTTACAAACAGAAAAATTCAAATAAACCAGCTGGTTCTCTACTGTACAATTGCTAGTACCACAAGGTAGCGCACGCGGTACGGAATGCGCCAAACATTTGGACCATGAAGTAATGAAAGTACCTTATTATCCTCATGTGCAAGCAAAGCTCCAAGACTTTCAGCACATTGCGGAAGGGCAGCATCATTTGGTTCCATTTTACCACATAAACGTGTGACTACAGACATTGCGGAGTGCATTGTGTCCTGTAAATGGAGCATTTTCTAATAAAGTCAAATTTCCATAATTTTTTCAAACAATCCTGGATATGGTAATATTATCCTTCTATTATATAAAGCGCTAACTTTGTGTGTCGGTTTGTGTATCTGTATGTGTGTGTGTGTGTGTGTGTGTGTGTGTGTATGTATGTGTGTCCGTCCGCAAAATGAAGTGAGTGAGAAGGAAGCTCATGGGATAAACAAACCGCTAACAAATCGGGTAGCTTACAGGATTTGATATCAATGTTTTGTAGCAGGATAGTTGTGATAACACTCTTAGGGCTATATAAACACCTGCTTAGCACACTTCCGTTCATTCCACATGGTGCTGCAGTGGCAGCTGGAGGGCAGTGGAGAGAGGAAGGGAGGATGAGGAAGGGAAGCGAAAAATCTACCGTCATATCATGATTGTGTCCCTTCTACTGTATGAAACACCATTGTGTTGCATACGCGTCACTTCCAGGTGTTGGTGTCACAGGAGGAAGGGACCATAGCGGAGGATAGAAAGCTTGCGCAGGAAAGGAAGGTCCCGGCGGTTGACGGGGGACTAATCTGGTATATATATTCTGGTAATTCTGGAGTGTATTTTCTATAAAATTCACAGCACTACAAAATACTGATCCTTGTTGGCTTGTTTCTAACCCTGCAACACCATACTTAGAAAAATTTCTGACCAGATCTGTGGAAGTATTTGAATGATCAAAAATAATCTAAACTCTTCTGCCAGTTCTTCTTTCCAAAGCGATTGGAAAACTAAAGGTGCGGTCGCACTTTCCTACTGCCTTGCACTACGTTTCCAGTTCGAGTGAGAAGAAGATACGTACTGATCTCACGATCGATTTATATAAAACTTATACCGCACAATAATCAATATTTACCAATCATGCTCGAAGACTGCCGAAAACAAATTCGAAACGTATCGCATTTCAGCCATCAGATGTAACAAACAAAGTGTGCCATCGAGGCGTTACCGAAATGATGGAAAGGTGTTCATTCTAACAGAAAATATTTTGACCAAGACAGTTATTTTCGTTTAAACTACTCCCTACTATCAAATACAGCTACAAATATAAGTCGGTCCGAAAACTTAGTTGGAGAGCTAATATCGTCACAAAAATCTGTGCAACCGTGATGGCTCGTAGAGTATTTCTCATAAAACTCACGACGCCATTGTCAATCGTATCGACGAGAGCACTAAGATCTTTCTGCCTAATTGCGTCAATGAGATGACGATGAGCGCGCTCGGCACTTTGGCCGCTCTGTCCAGGCTCTCCACTTGACTGATACTGTAAAAGCGACGCATATAGATCAAAGCTTTTTCGGGCAGTGAGTTCACAAGCTCCCACCGCCATTGTGAAAGGAAGAGCCGATCGTCCTTCGCTTAACAGCACAACCAGTAGATCAGCCAGCCGAAGTCCATCCGTCACGCAACGATCGTCCTTATTGGTCAGAACACACTGTAGCGCCGAGATCAAGCGTGGAGAACTGAAAAAGCATATGAGCGCTGGGTTTCACGAATGTCATGCGAAATAAATTACCTCAACACCTGCTCGGTAACCGCAGCACTCCCTCGACAAAGATTACTAAGCAACGAGAGAACAATGGAGATGAAATTGGCAGAATGGGCAGCAGTTTCACTAGACAGTGTGGTTAGCAGGTGCTCAACCAAATTGCTGTGCGTGGCTAGCTCAGCCGGGTCGAGCATCTTGCGAATGAAACGGTCTGTGAGAGCTGCGAAGCAACGCAAAGCGCTCTCAGAAACCTGAAATACAGTGACAGTGATCGCAAAAGCAATGTGGATGCCGGGCTGGATGTTCAAGTCCCGACTTATTTTTTGTTACAGACAATTTTTTTATATAGATCAGATCACAGATCTCGTTACTATACCCTTTTCTAACGATTTTTATCAATAGTAATATTCGTAATTTCTTCCAGATGTAGGTAAGTATTCAGTGGCCGAATCGCGCCACTTGAAGCTCAAATTTCTCGTTCACGTGTGCGCCAGAGTCGTTGCTAGCGACGACCCTTGCCCGCAACCGTTTTTCAGGTTCGAAAATTTATCCACGTGGAATTTACAAACAGAAAAATTCAAATAAACCAGCTGGTTCTCTACTGTACAATTGCTAGTACCACAAGGTAGCGCACGCGGTACGGAATGCGCCAAACATTTGGACCATGAAGTAATGAAAGTACCTTATTATCCTCATGTGCAAGCAAAGCTCCAAGACTTTCAGCACATTGCGGAAGGGCAGCATCATTTGGTTCCATTTTACCACATAAACGTGTGACTACAGACATTGCGGAGTGCATTGTGTCCTGTAAATGGAGCATTTTCTAATAAAGTCAAATTTCCATAATTTTTTCAACAAATCCTGGAATATGGTAATATTCCAATATGGCTATATTCTGGTAATTCTGGAGTGTATTTTTCTATAAAATTCACAGCACTACAAAATACTGATCCTTGTTGGCTTGTTTCTAACCCTGCAACACCATACTTAGAAAAATTTCTGACCAGATCTGTGGAAGTATTTGAATGATCAAAAATAATCTAAACTCTTCTGCCAGTTCTTCTTTCCAAAGCGATTGGAAAACTAAAGGTGCGGTCGCACTTTCCTACTGCCTTGCACTACGTTTCCAGTTCGAGTGAGAAGAAGATACGTACTGATCTCACGATCGATTTATATAAAACTTATACCGCACAATAATCAATATTTACCAATCATGCTCGAAGACTGCCGAAACAAATTCGAAACGTATCGGATTTCAGCTTCACATTACGCAACTCGAAAAAATTTTCCTACAAAACGTCTGAAAAATTTCTTTACAAAACAAACCTTATGGACTTGCGAACCATGTTGTCGAACTAATGTAAGCATAGCGTGCATACCACCAGCATCATAAACGGCGAGCGTCTCGCGCTGACAAATATGCTCGAGAAGTTTCACACATTGCTCAGCTAAAAATAGGCTAGTGTCACAAAATGATGCAATGTTGAAACACCAAAGTACTAGCGCTTGAAACAGACCTAAATCTTTACTGGTTCTGTCAGTCATTTCGGCAGCAGCAAGTCGACTGCATATTGCCTTAACAGCGCCATCCACTTGAATTATTCTTCGGGTGCATTCGTTGGAAACATCAAGGTAATAAGTAATAGCACGGGCAGTGACCTGCAAGAAAACGTTGAGTTACGTAAGTCCTTGAGGAACGCCCAGACTAACTTTCCACAGCTGAACAAATACAGACTTTTCGAAGGGTAATATTTTCTTTGTATCTTATATTTTTACCCTTGTAGAGCGAACCAACATTTCATTACCCTATGCCATCACAGTTGCAGTGAAAACTAGATCCTGTGTACGTGTCGCGCCTGTACACGTCATGTAAACAGCTTCACCATCCCTCCCGCCCCATCCTCATTTTTTCCAGATCCTTATAAACCGAGGTCTTAAGTCCGACAACCAAACACGACTCGTACTTCAAGAGTTCCTGCTTTCTGCTCCTCTCATTATCGGACTTGTGACTACCAGAATTCCCTACATTACCGTGGACGGCCTGGACGATTTTAGAACCGAGTACACGTCTGATCTCAAGCTTAAAGCCCTGGACTCATTTACGAACCTCAAGAACAGCCTCTGTAGCAGTTTCATCCAGGAAAATTTTGCACAACGCAGGAAGGAACGTTCGCGGAGGACACGATTCAAAGCATCGATCGATATTGTCAGACATGAGCAGCAACATGCACAGCTGCTCGAGGGCCATCATCTGAAATAGCAACCATGGGAGTCAAGTAGTTTAAAGTGCCAGTATCACAACTCTATACCATTGAAGACACTAAGAAAATCCAATTTTCAAGCTCATCAAAACGGAAAATGTGGCCTTATGGCTTAAATCGCAACGCTAACGCGGCAAAAATAACTTGACCGGTATTATGCAAGCAAGAGCACTTAGCTATGTAAGCTGTAAGTTACGCCCAAGAAACTGCTCCCAACCAACTTCTAATCACACATGTTCCAAGCGGAATCAGTGAAGATTTCTCATAAGAACCAAAAAGGGTTAAGATCGGATTAATTCTAATGGGACTAGGTTTAGCAACACAGCCACAAATATCTATGACTAATTAGCCATTCGAAAAAAACCATTACCCTTTTACTAAAGATTGAAATTTTGAGTATTGAAATCTCAGGCCTATTACCTGTTAAGCTTTTCCAGACTAACTCTATGACAGTTCATATTCTGCACTAAAGCATCTAAAATTTGGTAATTCGGTAAATCCGTATGCTTATTATCCCTCATGGGTCTACTGATCATGGCGCTCAATACTGGACTAGCAACGGCCGATCACCAAAACGACCATTTTTTTTTTGAACTGAAAACCACTGAGTCAAATTTGCTCACCTGGAGATCCCTTTCGTCTCCAATACCCGTTTGAAGCCATTCTAGCAGGACGTCCGGATCGATCCCATCCATAATGGACGTGCCACTTCAACTATGGGAACCCACACCTATCGTTCCTGAAGCTGAGCTCGTCTTTTAACAAGCAACGCCACAGGAATTACGAAAAGAAAAGGTGATTTCCCTGAAAATAAGCGATGTGAAGTCATGAGTACTGATAAGGCAGACATATCTCTTACTCGGTAAGAAACTCGAAAAAAAAAAAAAATGTGACCTTCGAGAAGGTGACAAAGAAGCACTGAATAAACAAACGTAACAATGGCGTCCAAATCAATATGGGTACCCTTTTGGCTGGCAACAAAACCGAAACTAAGCCTAGATTTACAGATCGGTACCCACTTACTAAAAAAAACTAATCGTAAGTCTTCCAGCTAATTCTTAGTGCTACCAATGGACTGCACCAAAAACTTACAGCAACAGTCCTGCCTTTTAAGGTTAAGTAAAGTAAGGACTTAGCGACAAAAAAGAGCCGGCTGATAAAACAGCTAGCTCTACCTAACCTTACGAGCTAAGTTAGAGCAGCTTCAACAATTGCACGCTATCTGATTCATTGCTCCAAGATATCATAGCTAATTAATTTCAAAGAACTCATTGAAACCAATTACAAAATTTGAAAACCAAATCCCGTTACGGCTGGCGAACCAAATTGAATCCCTCACGCGTCATTTTTGAATATTCCTAAGCAACGCGCTACCTACGGCACAAAACAAATCCCAACATTTTTGAAATGAATGTGACTGGGTGAGTGACTTATTGATATTAAAATTTTCTTACCACAAGGAAATGGAACACTTGAGTTAGTGAGGGCAAACAAAGGAATTTCAGATCGAATACGAAGAGCCTTCTTCGTTGTTAAGTAAGAAAGAGAAATCTATAAAAAATTAAGGAATCTAGCGCTTAAATTTTTGAATTCAGGCGCCAAAACTTTCAGTGGCTCAGCTCAATTTTAAGCGTGAGGCGTTATAGATCCTGGGTGATTTAAGGTATAAGAAGTGAAAGCATGGCGTCGCGGAAAATTTCCTTCCGCATCCCCTTCCTTCTCCCAAAATTCCACAACAAACCTCCTAATAGTTCCCAAAAATTTTGCGAATCCAAAAATTCATTCAGCTGCGAACGTACAACGTGAAACGATGACAATTTTCAAAAAAAAATCTTGAACTCTTCGAGAATCCTTTTATAACCCGGAGAAACTCTTCGACGGCTTTAAAACCCGTCCAGGTTGAATCCTTAGGACCCCATCCAAACCACCAACGGAGATTCGACAACGATTGCCGATTGCTTGACCTCGGTTGAGAGGGACACCAGCAAAGTCGGAGAAAAAAGCTCCGCAGGCTCTTTCTTGCTCACCGAATCGTAACCACAGCCTTCAGGCCGGTATCAGAATTCAGCCGGTATGAGAATTAGACCTAGGAGAAAGAGGGTAGAGCGGATCGAGGCCACATGCAACGAAACAAATAAGTCTCAAAAAGTATGATTTCAGATCGCGTGAAATCAATTCCCCCAAGTCACCCAAAAACCTCTTCTGATCGATCGGAGGAATTTCGATTGGGAAAATTTTCCAAGTAAAATGGAGTCAATATCGCATGCGAATCGCAGGGTATTGATCGAACGTAAATCTAGGACATAAATTCGAAACAAGTCAACTGCGTAAAACATTCGTGAAAACACAAAACACCTGTAGTCAGTCCCACGCAACGGCTTGGGAATCAGTCACAACAACAAACAGCAGCCTCACACCACTCGGCGACCTGGGAACTGGAATCTTATCTGGGCAGGGAGATTCGGGGCAAGGAGTTGTGTGCCATTGCAATTATAAATAGAACGCTCAACAGGGCATCTAGAAAATTCGACCCCCGAACTTGCGAAATGATTGTATTTCAGCCGAAACTGGGCGAGGAACATGACTCAGGACATCGCCAGTTGAAACGTGTCAGATATCGATTTTTACCTCGATCACCCAAACTTTCCCGGACAACAATCCCATAGCAGTGTGCAAATCACGTTCTGAGGGAATTCTGAGCGATTTTATCAGTTTCCGAGGAACTCTCACAGGAAACAAAGCACTGCGGCATACGCACATCCGCCGCAAACCATCGATAAGCCTCCCGCAGCGAAGTGGTCTCCACACAAACCTTAGCGTTGCGCTATTGGGAGACCCGAACGGGATATTTATATGGGCCTTACTAACAAGTTAGTACCTAAGGAGCCCGAGTAGAACCGAACAGAGTAATCAGCTGACGCAGACGCGACGCACGAGCGACAATCGACCGCCTGAGATCGAGGGACGCAGACAGTGAAGAGCTCGGCGACCCTGGCCTCTCTGCGCTCTGCGGCGCCCCACCTCGCGTCCCCTTGCACGGGTGAACCCTCGACTCCTCCCGAGCGCTCGTTGTGTTGTTGAGAGGAAGGGACTTGGCGAGTGCTGACGCGATCCTTTTCGAGGGAACAAGGAAACGTGAACACTTCGAATTGTTTGGTTTTTCAGCCCCTGTCAGACGGGGAAGTTTTATGCAGTTATTGGCGGAGCAACCGGAAAACTCCTTCCGAATTTCACCCTCCTCTTACCTTTAGGTCGAAGTCATATGACTACCAATTCCAGTACTGCCCTTCCACAAAATGCGTGCAATGAACGTGATGGTAATGGGAAGGGCACACACGTGCCATACCCACTTTACAACTAATACTCACTTTTGAGTTTCTTAAAAACTAAACTTCCGGCACTATTGAACCATTACAACCCTAAAATCTCAAAATTCTAGTTTTCGTCAAAACTTGACCCACAAGGGTTCGATGCCTTAAAGCA